CGCGAAATTTTCATGCCACTTGTGTTTTTCCATTCTTTATTTTTTCTCATGTCCTCTTATTTGGCTCTTGCCCGGTCCCCTCCTCCCCCGAGTTTGTCAAGTAGCTGCGCGCTGTATAGCGAATGGCGCGGGCGAAAGGGGTGGGCGGTGAATTTGTCATACTATCAGCAGCAGAAGCGCTCCATCACGGGAAAATGGGAAAATTCCTCCTGCTCTTCGCTCCACTCAATGGTCCGTGTCGGGCTCGCGGCGCATTCTTTTCTATCTATCTATCTATCTATCTATCTATCTATCTATCTATCTATCTATCTAGACCATTCCTGTCACCTGAAAGCTCGTTCAGCAGATACAATTTTTTATGTCGATTTACTTTTTCTAAATTAGAGCATGCATCTTTTATTCAGCTTTAAGCACGCTTACAAAATGATATACGTAACCTTTAAATTCAGTCATTTAAATTACATTTACATTTATCCCGAGGGGTCGCTGACTCATCTTCGCAGTTGTACCGAGAGTTGGTATAATGCAGTATTTTAGAGTATGATGGGTCCCGTGTGTGTGTGTACGGAGTATTATGCGAGTTGGCGACCCCTCAATTTATCCTTCCCTGCCACTCGCCGGTAGTCGATAGCGGGAGAGGCAAAACATTCCAGGCGGCGACGTTCACCAGGTATCCTTTCCGTAAGGACAATGAATGGATTGGAAGACGAAGGGACCCCAAGAAGGGGTGGGAGGGAGACAGGGCGGTAAGATGAGACGGGAAGTCGTTGGGTATTCGTCTCAGGCTGGGGGCCGCCCGTGCCGTGTCGCTCGCCGTAGTGAGTGTACTTCGACTTAGCCTCCCCACCCCCCTCTCCCGCACCCCTGCCGCCGCCCCCGGATCTTGGTCCTGGTCGCTCCATCCTGACCCTGCCGGCTGCGTTCTCTCCCTCTCCCTAGAGCCGATTCGTCTATTCTTCTCACGAGCCATGATGGCTCGGCGCGAAAGAGGAAAGAGTGAGAGTGAGGGCTCTCGTTTCGTCACAGGCACCTCGCGAAGCACAAAACAAACAAACAAGGAACGACATCGAAAAACAACTAACTGTCGGAACTCTGAAAATCGAGGAAAATAGAACACTCAAGGTAGAAAGGAGGCCTCATCCGTATCTTCATGCACCGTGCACCTTCTTTTTTTACGGAGTCTGGCTTTGGTGCGTCGCTGACGAGCCGCTCTATACATGCGCTCCATTTGCAATGCAAACCTGTCGGCCAAGCTCACACTCCCCACTCCCGCCCGTCCCTATCTACCCCCATCCTCCCCGTTTTCGTATGTCCTCACGACGACAGCGATCACGCCTCTCGCAGAACTCTCTGGCGTCAGCCACGACCGATGCCAGTCACTGTGTGCCGCCTGTTCATTAAACCTGTCAACGACCTCTCAACAAACGCACACGGTGAAAACTGTTCCTTGATATCCAAGGACCATCGGAAGGATTCAAGGACGGGAAAGGGAAAATTGCATGGGACGTCCTTAATCGTTCCGATGGTCCTTCGACAAGAAGGACCAATTTTCACCGTGCAATCACACACGGAAACCACCAAGTTCTTGTTAAGAGGGAAGGGAAGCTGTGAAACAAACTAAAATAAATAAATAATGATACTGATGTATGTGTCCAGGCGCGGATTAAGGGGGGGGGCGGGGGGGGGGATCGCCCCCCCTGTCGTCTCTAGATAGCCGCCTGAAAGGTAGGCAATTTGCCCCACAAAACCCCTGTATGTAGGCAACCGACAGTACATCGCCCCCCCTGTCAGCCGGACCTTAATCCGCCACTGTATGTGTCTATTAGCCTTTCTGACGCTGTCATCCTTGTTTCCCTACCTCCCAATGTACAGTACCCGCACAGCTCGGCCAAAGGACGGTGGGTTTTACGAGGGACCCGCGGCGGCGAGAGAGACCGGAGTGAGAACTGTGAAGTGAAATGTCGATGCTGGTCGGCCGCTGCTGAGCTATACACTACGAGTCGCCCCAAACTCGGCCGCAAACTCGTGCGGCAGCACTGCGGCCATTTACGGGGGGGCTCTTCGCACCTTCCTCTCCACACCGCCGCCGGGGGACTCGGCTTGCCGCGGGATCAGCGGGCGGCAGACCTACGGCGCGGCCGGGAGGGGCGGCTCCATTGACGCCAAAGCCCCCCTACCGCGCGCTAGGACCCTCCTCGCAGGACCCTCGGGCGGTGTAAGGGGGCTCTCCGGCTGCTGCTGGCGCTGGCCCGGGCGTGTGGGAGAGGGGTTTGTGTGGAGGGACTTCCAACAGAGTGGGATTTGATGCCGCTCTTTATCGATGTTGGTCGGCTGATGTTGGGCAGAGGGTTGGTGTGTTGTGTGACTGTGTGTGTGTGTGTGTGTGTGAGTGAGCGACCCAACTCACAAGCCGACATCATTACTATATCGTGTGGTCCAGGAGCAGTGAGCGCGCATTTTACCCATCACAATATGCGGTGCGCAGATCACGTGTTTGGTTTCCGTGTGGGCAGCTCGCCTCGTGGAGGGTGAGAGGCGGTAAAAACAGAAGCGACTGAAATCCCTCACTTGCTAACGGATTCCGTGAAAACAAAAATGGGCCCAGAGGGCTAATTTTTTTTTAGCAAAATTCGTGATGCCTTTATCACATTAGCTTCGGGTGGATGAGAAATTATCTGTCAGAGCCTACAAATTAAAATGGTTCTACTGCTCTAAATGTAGTTTCTCTACCTGCAGGTGTGGATATTGTGTTTCGTTCGCTCGGACCTGCTGTTAATGTGTAATAATGACGTAATAACCTGTAATCAACGGCGTATAATAACCGCGCGTGAACTCGTCGCGGAAAATGACGTAACGATGATGTAACGGCGCTGAAGTGAAACAACGTGAAGTGTAATAAGACTTTGATACGCTGTAAAGAGATGATTGGAGTGATTTTCCCAATTAATCGTCTCTGCGATGGTACACTCTCGATAGAAAGACCAAAACGGCGCCTTCGCTGCGACAGTTCGGGAAATCTCTACAATGCGAGCACGCCTTTACCTCCTGCCTGCCCGTGCTGGCAGCGGAGTGGACCGTTGGGCCCCTAATTGGCAGTCGGATCGGACGGATCTCTGGCCTTTTCATCATAGGCGCGGTCCAATTGGCCCGGATCCGAGAGGGTGGCGGAGGGGTGGCGGGGGGCCAGCCAGGTCCCGGGACCGTGCCGACCCGCAGGCGTTCAACAGGCGACAGGTGGGCGGGGGCGCGGGAGGGAGGGCTGAGGGCGGGTGCCCGAGAGGGGGTCGATATATGTGCACCCGCACACACGCACCCTCCCCCCGCACCCACCCATCCCGTCTCTCACGCTCTTTCCAGCGCCCACTCGGCACCCACCTGAAACGCGTTCATTAGGGAAAATTGTCTGCCGTTGTGCCTCAAACAACAATGGTTTCCCCCGCAGTGTATAGCCCTCTGTGTTGTCGGCTGTGCGGGCGGCGGCGGTGGCGGGCTGCTGTCGTTGGGGGCAGAGC